ATTGTATTGGATCAGACCAAAGGCCTATCTAGTCTGGCATGCTCTTGCCATAGTGGCCATCTAGATGTTTATCCAAAGCCCACAAACAGGACATGAGTGCAACAGCAGCTTCTCACTCATGATGTTCGGATAGAGTTGATTCTCTGCATACAGATGGTCCCACCATCAATCCGTAGTATCACTTTGTTAAAAAAAGGATCAAATGAAATAAGTGCAAGATGGCAGAAGGATTTTTGTCAGAGAGCTGCAGTCAGTCAAAGTAAACCATATTGTACTAGCATCCAGAAGTGGGCTAGGTGAACAAATAGCCTGAACTGCTATAAGGAGGCTTCTGGTAACTTACATCCCTTTTCAAAGTATTTTCTGCCTGCCTTGGCAACCTCTCTTCAAGTAACCCATATTAGGACACTATACCCGCCAACATTTCACAGATGAAAACTGGGGCACGTGTGGCCAAGCAGCACCAGATTGTGCACAAGATGGCAAATGTTGTTATTGAGGAAGAACAGACAGACTAGGAGAAGCTGCAGCAGTGTGCTTTTCCCTGAGCCTGTTGGGAAGAGTAAGATTCCCTCTTTTCTCTCCTTTCTTCCTTGCTGAGTTAACTGAGTGCAAACTACTTTTGCAGCAATTGAAGGAAGCTGAGGACAAAGGGGGAAAGTGAGGGGTGGAAAGAGTAACTGGGGCATTTTAAAAGCAGGTGAAAAAGTGTAACTGAGGATCAGTTGGAACTGTTCCTGCAAAACTGGGAGAGCTGAAGGGTACGGAACATGTAATTGTATTCTTTAAAGTGGTCATATGTACAGAGATGGAAAAAGTTTTTTTTGGGGGGCATAAACTGTAGAGTCATTCATTTAGCTCAACTAATGGCCATGTTTTCTGGTGGCTTCTGGGAGATGCAGTCTAAAAATGGATCTTTCCCTAGCTCTGCACATGAGGATACATGATAAATCCAGCCAGGACTGAGCAAGTGACTTGATCAGTGCCAGCTAGTTAAGCATTATAACTAAGATGTGTCGAAGTTTTTCTCAACTACCATAGGTCTCAAAATTAACATAGTTCTTTACTACTTTGCCTCTATGAAATAATGCATTTCCTAATTAAGTACAGTAGAAACGATTGGAAATGAGGATTAGGAGCCACCTTACCTCAACAACACACTACAGTGCAATGCAATGCAATAGCTCAATGCATCTAGCTTTTATTGAGAGGTCAACATTTGCTCTGGAGGGATAAGAAACTGGGAAGAAGCCAACCCTAACTTGCTTGTGGTGTATCAAATGATGAGTCTTCACCAAAGAGGCCCCAAGAGGCCATCCTGCCCCCAATCATACCAAAGAATATTTGGAAGAATACAAAGGATTATTTACCATATATTTATATATGTATATGGGTTTTGTCTATAAATCAAGCACTGTTTGTGGGCAAAAGTTAGTCATGCACATTAGGAGTGACTGGCTTTATGTTTGCTTGGTGAATGGGAGCTTTATCCAGGGACAGCAGAACCCTCCCTGTGGATTCAAGTGTGCCCAAGGGGGGCTGGTGAGTCACAAGCTGAACTTGTGATGGAGAAACTCTCAAGCTTCCATGAATGCTTTATTCAGAGTGCTTTATCAAGCAATCCGGATAGTGGTGGACTGAAGAATGGGGTCTGCTGAAACATCCTGTCGGAGGTCTTTCCACAGCAGGAGAGAGATTTCTGCATTAACTGCAAATTGTTTTGGAGGCCTGTCTTGGGTCTGCAGCTTCATGGACCATCTGTGATCATACATCATCACACCTGTCTTAACAAGAGGCTGGTGCTAGGGTGTTTTGGACTGAAGGGGCATTCGAGAGCGGGTGGAAATGTTTTATCAATGCACCAGTTAGGTTAATCAATTTTTTTTTAAAAAAATGAACTAATTTTCAGCCATTCAAAGTAGTGTGTCTCTGATGGATCAGGAGGCAGATGATTTTGTGTGTGTGTGTGTTCATACTCATAAGCATATGACAGCATTGATGGTCCTTGAGGTCTCTTCCAATTCTACGATTTTATGAAATGGAGAAACAGCATGGATTCATGAGCTGTGTATGTCTGGAGATTATCATATGGGCTTTTAACCCGACTGCACCCTAACAGACTGCAGCCATGAGACAGGATGCAGGCGGGAATTATTGCACATAATTCTCCACCAGTTCTGCTGGCCAAGTGCAGCCCGGCTGCAGCCCAGGTCCCAGGAGTGCTCAGCAAGCCTCTTTTGAAAGGCGGAAAGCTCCCGGCTTTCTTTTTCCTCTGTGGCAGTGTGAACCATATAGGAGCTCTGTTCAACCTGAAATCCTCACACCAGGAAATGTTCAGATCAGATTCCTTTATGATGGCATTTAAGGCTCGTATGCCCCTGTGGAGAGCATCTTTCTTTCCAAAAATAGAAATGCTGAAGTTTGGTTTGATGAAGTAGAGGGGGCAGTAGCATAGGACGATGAGATGAGAGTGCCACATAAGACCAAATATCTGTTGTGTCCAGCATTCTGCTTCCAATAGTGGTCGACTGCAGGCCTCTGGCAAGTCTGGAAGCAGGACACGAAAGCAATATCAGATCCCTGCTGTTGTGCTCTGAGAGATCCTCCAGCACAAGCAGGTTAGAGCAGGAGCATCATTAGGGGACGCGGGGGTGCGGACTGCACCAGATGACACCCTAAGTGGGGGTGACACCACTACTCCTCAAACATCGGCATTTGGACAGAAAAGGGATGAGACATTCACCTGTATCCCTTTAAAATGGTGAAGAGATGGGGTGAGTGGGGTGAGGCTCAGTGGGAGGAGAAAGGAGGTGCCCCATGTATTTATTAAATTAAATTAAATTAAAATATTAAAAAAATGTAAACATTATTTTTAATTATTTTTAACATTTTCTTTAAAAACATCATATTTTACCAAATGTTCACTTTAACCACACGAAACTAGGTATATGTCAACATATTTATTCTGTGCATGTGACATTGCAATTTAAAGGTAATATTTTAATTTTGCTAGTTGTTTATGTCACAACCATTACCATTACCTTCAGTAATATATGGGAATTACAATGTATGAGTGAATGTACATTTCTCTATCGCTTGTCAGTGAACCTAGCACTCTCTAAGCAGTTTACAAATGGCAAGCCAATTGCTCCCAACCAGCTTGGTCCTCATTTTACTGACCTATGAAAGGATGGAAGGCTGAGTCAACCTTGGAGCCCTGTGGGATCAAACTCACAACCTTGTGGCTGCAGTACCAGCATTCAACCACTGCACCACCAGGGCTCCCTATATTATAAATTACCATAAATTAGTAAATTATAAATAAGAACAAAAACATTGCTAAGGATTCTGTATGGTGTTGTATGGGAAGAGGTCAATGGGGGGGGGTGGCACCATGAGTTACCACACTGGGTGACACCAACCCAAGTGACGCCACTGGAGTAGAGGCAGTGGTATAGTGGAACCAGTACGCATGGGTCCATATGTTGGTAATTGTTTATTATCAGATGGTGACATTTATCACCCCTCCCCAGGCTTCCCTGTTTTCGCTTCCCTTAGCTTCAGTCCTCACAGTAGTTTAAGAAGCATGGGCAATTTCCCAAGCAACAATATGTTATCCTGAGCTATTCCTGCTGTAGTGCAAAGAATATTATAGTGTTGTCTGGTCTTGAATGAGCAATTTGAATCCTGAAATAAAGAAGTTGCCAGCATGAGCTTTCACAGACTTCAGCCTACTTCCTCAGATGCCTATAGTGGAGACCACTATATGCATCCACTCCACTATATGTATCTGAGGAAGTAGACTGAAGTCTGCGAAAGTTCCTGCTGCCAACTTCTTTCTTTCAGTTAGTCCCAAAGGTGCTACAGGATCTCTCTACATACTGATTCTACAGACGAACACGGCTATATCTTTGATTTCTACCAATTTGAATCCATTAGCTTTCCAAAAGACCTGCTCTTGCTGGAGATTATTGGGAGACCGTTGCAGACTGGGTATCATGGAAAAGTGTTGTCTTTTTTTTTTTTTAAAGGACCTTGATTGCCAAGACTTCTATGTTCTACTAATTAGCAAATGGAAAGAGACCAGAAAACCTATCACGGGAATTTTGAGCATCCTGAAAACATGGAGAGGTTAATTGAAGGCTTGGGGCAAACAAGCTCTAACCTTTTTCCACATGCCCTTGTTATGCTAACAGTATTGCGCAGGCTGATTTAATGACTTCTTATTACCTGGCTTCCTAATTAACCTTCTGCCCCCAAATGCAGAGAGTTTAAAGAAGGCTCTCCCAGCACAGGGACTTCTAGATTCTTCAGGCCTCAGGGTGACTAGAGATGCTTCTTTTACTACTCAGTTCACAGCCTCCCGATGCTCCAAATCATTCATATTTAATAGCATGGACACAGGACATTGGCAACTTGGAAACACTCTTGTTCTCCCCCGAGTTCTCCACACCAAGATCCAGGATAGCTCTGCAAAGTTCCCAGAGTGGGAAGGAGCCATCTTCCCTGTCTTACTTTTAATACTGCTAAAACATCCCTGAAGGTTCTGTGCCCCCACATCCTTCCCAAAATATAGGACTGAAGCAAGGTACCCTCAACTTCACTGCTCTTGATGCGTCTTATGAAAAGGGGCAAGATGCCCACTCATCTCATAGTGTAAACTGTTTTAATGGCAATGGTACAACAGTGCCCCCAGTGCCACTGATGGGTGCCATTTTAATTTTCTTCTTTACCACAATGTGAGCAAGAAGTACTGTCTTTCTGATCTGGCTGTTGTTGTTGGGTGCCTCCAAGTCATTTTTTACTTTTTCGCTGTTGTTGTTGTGTGTCTTCAAGTCATTTTTTTACTTCGTTGCTGTTGTTGTCGTGTGTCTTCAAGTCATTTCTGACTGATGGCAACCCATGGGGTTTTCTTGGCAAGTTTGTTCAGAAGGGGTTTGCCATTGCCAGCCTCTGAGGCTGAGAGAGTGACTTGCCTGAGGTCACCCAGTGGGTTTACATGGCCAAACCAGGATTTGAACCCTGGTCTCTAGAGTTGTAGTCCAATGCTCAAACCACTCCACCATGCTGACTCTCCATGGGGAAGCTATCATAAGGTTTTCTTGACAAGTTTCTTCAGAGGAGGGTTGCCATTGCTATCCTCTGAGGCTGAGAGGGTGTTATTTGCCCAAGGCCACTCAAACGGTTTTTATGTTCAAGCGGGGAATCGAGCCCTGATCTCCGGCCATAGTCCAATGCTCAAACCACAATGCCATGCTGGCTCTTTCTGGTTTGGCTATGTGACAATATTCTTGAGGTCAGTTTGGAGTGAGAATGCAAAGGACGTTATCACACTTGCAGCAAGAGAGCGGCGAGAAAGC